GTTGGATCGGTTTCAAACATCAATTTTGGTGAACATGACCGATACTGTTTCACTGTCAGGGATGCTCAGGTCAGTGCATTGTCTGAGAGCGATGAATTCAGATATCTTTTGGTTGACTCAGGAGCATGTGAAAACGTTGCCAAGTATGGGGATTTTGTTGGACCGGTTGATTCCACAAAAGGAAAACCTTTATAATTTATTTGGTGTTCAAGGGAACCCACTCAAAATATATGGAAAGCAATCTCCCAAAATTGAAGTCGGGAACTTAAAAGGACTGATGGACATGACTGTGACTGACTCAGCGGAGAGTTTGCTGTCAGTTTTCAACATGGTAGAAAAAGGTCATGCCGTGCATTTTGAAAAGAACAACTGTCATTTGGTTACGAACCAGAATGAAAGGATTCCATTGGAATTGCATGGAAAGAGATGGTATTTGAAAGTGAAACATGATCAACAAAGTTCGTCAAGTTCAGGAAACGGAAATTTGAGAACACAAAGAATAGCACCAGTCAAAGGAGTCAGGTTTGAAGAAGAAAAGGAACCTGATACCTGGAGAATGGAGACCAATGAGGAAGGAGAATTCGTGGTTCGTGTGCACAACACAGCACGATTCCAACTATTCAGCCCAGAGCGAATGGCTGATCTTCCTGTTCCAATCAACCGACTACTACCTGGTCGACTTACCAAGATCTATTTCTCCGAAGATGGATCGCATGTGGAAGACCAGAGTTTGTGGACAAGAAAACAGACATCTGCCAAGAACATGGGCAGAGAATGGCTGGGAGAATCGTGGTTTAGATTGAAGCCAGAGACTGAAATTCCTGAAAAGAAGGATGCAGAGATTGAAGAAGCAAAGAAAGTTGAAGGAGTACGTGACCCAGACCAAGACATGGATGAGTTCTTTTTGGATTGGGTGTACGTAGAAGATCGAGTGCAACCAGATCCAATTGATCAAGACCAAGCCGAACGTGAAGTGTTTCGAGAGCAAAGACAGCTTCATGAAGAAGGAGAAGTGAAAGAACAAGCACAGGAGGTAGATGTACCAAAGGCACCGAGTGCACAACAGCGTGAGGAGCACAGACTTCATCATGCAAATTTCGAACCTTGGTGTGAAACTTGCATCAAAGGACAAGGACGAGGTGCACCTCACAGAAGAAGCAAGGAAGACAAGAAAGAACACATCATCTACTCCGACTACATGTTCTTCAGTGTGGATGGTGAGATGGTGAATAGAAGTGAAGGAAAGAAGCAGAAAGGACTGATCACAGTGCTGACGGCAAGTTGCAAGGACAGTCAGTATCCCTTCGCCATGGTGGTCCCATCAAAAGGAGGAGGGTACTACTCAAGGGATGCGTTGGCAGCTTGGATCAGAGATCTGGGATGGAACAAAGTGACAATACAAATAGATCAGGAAAATTCCATGAACAAGTTGTTTGACAGAGTGAGGGATCTCATGCCAGAAAGAGTGGAGATTCGGAAATCACCACGGTATAGCTCACAGTCTCTTGCAGATGGAGAAATGGTGAATGGACTGATAGCTGGAAAGATTCGCACATGGCTGTGTGAGTTGTCTGAAAGCTATGCAACGAAAATTGGAACCGAGCACTACGTGTTCCCATGGATCGTGCGTCACAGCGCATGGACTTTGGCAAGGTTTCATGTCAACAAGAGCAAGACCACAGCGTTTCGTGTGATAAAGGGCAGAGACTACGTGGGTGAGTTGATACCATTTGGAGAGACAGTGATGGGAAAATTTCCAAAGGTGAAAGACAAGTCTGCACCTCGATGGACAAAAGGAATCTATGCAGGAAAGAAAGAAAATTCAGATGAGCACATGATGTTGACAAGTGCCGGAGCTATTAGTTTCAGAACAGTCCGAAGATTGCCAGTTGGATCACAGTTCCAAGATGCTGTGATGGAAGTTGCGAGAGGAGTCCCATGGAATACAGTGTTGGGAATCGAGAAAGCAAAGCCGGAGGCAATCTCATCGGAGGTGAAAGCAATTGTGGCACCAGAAATCGAAGGACAGGAAACCTATGATTTCGAGGACAGATCGAAACAAGAAAACGAGCCGATCTTTGATGACAGACCAGAAGCAATGGCGAAAGCAAAGGTGGTTCACATACCACAACCTATTGTACCACCATTGCGGAATGCACCAAGATCAGCTCCAAGTACACCGAAAGGAGGGAAAGCACAGAAGAGCACAAAGAAGGAAGACAAAGCACCAGAGATGCAGGTGGACGATGAAGGAGAGAGGATCGAGATTGAAGAAAAGGATTCCAAGAAGCCACGACTGGCAGAGGGTACAACCTCTAGTGCCGTACCGGGCGACACCGGAATGAATCCAGGACAACCTGAACTGTACCGCATAGACACACCAACAGATGACAACATGAGTGCAGCGGGCACAGCGTCTCAGGACATGGTTTCTGGAGTCAGTAACGGTGAAGTTCCAGATGCGGAAGAAATGAGGAAGAAATACCATATGCCAGTAAACAAGGACCATGTATGGTTTCAGAAGTGGCTAGATGAGAGAAAGGAGCACTTCCAGAGTGAAATGGTGGCAAACATCATGGACTACCTGGACCAAATTGGAGCAGCAGAAGAAGAACAAAAGAAAGCTCGAAAGACGGAGATCAAGAAGCTGAACGAGGACTTTGGAGCATTTACGCCGAGAGACGGAAGATTGATTCCAAAGGAAATAACAGTGTTTGGTCATAAATGGGTAGACAAAGTTAGTGAAGGAATTGCAAAGTCTAGGTTGACATGTCAGGATTTCAAACGAAAGGGACAAGATAGTGACAGAAACACGTCGGAAGCACCAAGCAATTTTTGTCCGACACCACATGGATGTTCCAGAAAATTGTTGGAGTCTACAGTATGGCAACAGGACTACCACGAGTGAAAGCAGATCTCACATCAGCGTTTCTGATTGCCAATGACCAAGGTGACAAGACAGGACAACCTGTGATGATGAAACCACCTAAGGAATGGCTGGAAGACTACGACGATTGGTATTTGTTGCAGCCCAAGGAAGTTCAAGAAGAACTCAAGGACGTTCCTAAGGAACATATCCTGTGGCAAGTGGATGGCAACTTGTACGGACGTCAGTCAGCAGCAGCACAGTACAGAGACAGATTAGAAGAAATAATCACCAAAGAGTTACCACCAGAACAATATGAGTTTCAGCGAGGAGCAATCGATGGATGTGTGTACAAATGTGAGAAAACAGGAACAGTGCTGATTCATCACATAGATGATTTCGACATTTGTGGACCCGAGAAAGTTTTGAATGATTTGCTGATGATTCAATTTCCAAAGAACGGTTGCAAGCTGAAAATGGGAGAGATGGAATACCCGTTTGTAGGAAGTAAAACAACTTCAGAGTTTCTTGGAAGGACCAAGATCAATGTCGAAGAAGCCGTGATCACGAAACCAAACGCGAAACATGTAGAGGTGATACTGAAACAACTGGGTTTGGAAAATGCCAAGCCTGGACCAGTGCCAGGAAAGAAACTTGACCTGACACAGGACAAATTGTTGGACGAGAAACAGAAAGCGATATATGCCAGTTGTGTGGGAAGCGCAATTTACTTATCTCAGGACAGACCAGACATAAAGTTTAGTACTAAGGAATTGGCAAAACGCATTCGGGAACCAAGGGAATGCGACATGGCCAACCTTAAAGTCCTGGGAAGGTATCTTCGAGGAACCACGAACTATGGGCATGTGACAAAGTTGACAGAGGGGATCGACATCCGAGAAGGAATCCCGATGCACTGCTACTGTGACAGTGACTGGGCAGGAGACCAAGAAAGCAGACGTTCCACAAGCGGTGAGGCGATTTTTGTAGGAGGTACACTCGTCGAATCGTCATCGCACACGCAACCAGGAACGCCAGCGACAAGCTCAGCGGAAGCTGAAATAAGGTCCCTGACGCACTGTGCTCAGACTGCAGTATTTGTGCGAAACTTAGCTGAAAAGGATTTTGGAATGAAACTGGACACACCGAGGATTTGGTGTGACTCGTCAGCAGCCATACAAGCTGGAAAGAAAATAGGTGTAGGAAAGATGAGACACATAGCAGTAGGACACCTTTACATACAAGAGTTGGTGAAAACAAAACAAGTGATCATAGGTAAAATCGACGGAACAAAGAATCCCGCAGACATCCTCACAAAACACCTCGCTACAGGTGAACTGGTACGAAACGGATGCGAGTTGATAGGACTCGTGGACCTGACTGAGGATGGACTGGACAAACACGTGTCGAAAACAAACATGAGAACAATAGGTTCTGTGAATGAAAACGAAAACAAACGATGGAAACCGCAAACCGGTTCAAAGCTTAGCGTTCGACAACACGCTTCCGGGGTGAAACGAAATGGAAACCTTGGGGGACACACCTGTGTTGTGGGGCGGCAAAGTCATCATGCCGGGAAACACCGGGATTGAAACGTTAATGCTGTTGTTTCTCATCAGCTTGACTTTCAACCTAGTGAGTGTTTGCGTAGGAGGGACGGCACTTTGCTGTCTGTACAGAGACATAGTACTGTGGCCATGCAAAAGCAAGAAGAAGGCCAAGTACGAGGTGTACTACCTCACAAAGTATGGAGAAAGAGTGCACTCAACGGAACAATGTCCTACGTTGAGTAATAGCACAGATGTGAAGAAATTCAAACCGTGTACAAAGTGTTTCAATGTGGTCTTAGGACCGAAAGATGCGTAACCGAGCCCAATACGCAATGCAGAACGTACAGAAAATAATTCAAATGAAGTTGCACTGTAAGGCGCCATATTTTAAGGAGGGTGCAAGCAAAATACGCACCATATGCTAGGTTTGGCTGCCTGTATGACTTGTGGTAAAACATGTCACCACAGTGCATGCATGTGTACTCCGCAGCCCCATTCGAAGTGGCACAAAACAGTGAGTCCGCTTTTCGCAATCTTGGAATAAATATAATATTTAATATTCACTAATATTCTACAGTCATGGGCTACCCCCAAGTCTCCAGGCCAAGCTGCTCACACTGTTTCCCTTCCACGAAGGGCACCGGCAAGTAACCGTGCTGAATCGCGCACCTGTAGCCGTGCCGAAATCAACGAAGAATCCATGGCCGTGGAAATGTCACAGCGAAATCATCCAACGAATGGTGAAATTCGCTACAGAATAAGCTACAGCCCAACAAATTGCACGGTTTCCTCTGGTGATTTCGTTCGATGATTTACAACTGGTGGTTCTCCAAGGGGCCCAGCGACCCGATGTCTGGGTCTACCCCCATTTCCAGTAGCCAAGATGCATGACCAGAGTCCACAGAGCCAAGCCGAACATCACTGCTGGTAGAACATCCTTGGAAACTGAGATTCCTGAAATGCCCCAAAAAAAATTGATGGGATGATGGGACAGACATGAGAAGAATATGATGTTCAAAGTGTAAATTAGTGTAAATCTCCAGATGCATAAGATCATAAGATGCATTAATCATAATAATCATATATCATAATCAGCTTATACCTGATTACCTTGACCTTCCAAACACCATTGATTGACCATTGACTGTTTGTTGCTGGAACCCCATTGTTTTTCAGGATTTTAGGCCAAGTAACAGCCGTCAAAGCACTTTCGCCGTGCTTGGCTTTGGGGTTTGCCAAGGCTTTGCTAATCGACCGCGCCATCACCTCGCTAAACACCCAGCTTGGTGCATATCTAGGCATGTCTGTTGATAGTCCCAAAAAAATATCCAACTTAAATGAAGGAAATGAAGTACATCCTGTTGCCCTGATTGCCCTGAAACTTTGAACCTGGTTAAGCTGGTCAAGCTGGTCAAGCTGGTCAAGAATGGGGAATCCAAAAACTTCAGCTTGGCCACTAGCCCGTGCCAATCTACAAGAAATGGGAATGGGCCATGGGTCAAATTTAAAGCATCTGGTGATGTTTTGGATCTGAGAACATCCCCATGGGCCCCATGGGCCATGGGTGTTGAAGCCCCATTTTCGCTGCTTCAATAGCCATGGATTTTTCGCTCTACCATCTCAAGATGGTCCTGAGATGCCAATTTCTAAAAACAAAAGGCTCAAGCCATTCCCTCTGGTTATGACTAACATAGCCATGGAAAATCCTCAAAATAAATGGAGGTTTCTAGCTGGGAAAATTCACTATAAATGGGCCATGGCTTCCATGGCTATGTTAAATTACCAGAGGGTAAACAAAATAGATGTTAATATACGTGTTCATCAATTTTCATCATCATCCCTCCTAAAAACAGGCCAAAAACTGAACAGTGCCAGGCACCACGAAGACGACAGGAATAGCCAGCAGGGTGACCATCTTGGCACTTCCACCCTCAGATGGCCCATCCACAATTAATGGTAAGGTGATGGATTCACAGAATTTACGGAGATGCCCCACCTTGTTGGAAAGCACATAATGTCAACCCCAGATGAATAAACCATGGTTTATTAGGGGGTAGCCTCCAAATAGTCACATTTTTGTTGGTACATCACAATGGTACCCCCCCAATGAAAAAACCGCCGGCAAGGGCCTAGGGGTTTTTACTCATCCAGGGTTGACACTAATGGACCACCGGGTAAACCAGTTGGAGTTTGGGATGTTTGATTCTGATGATCAAGCTTTGTCGCCTCCTTTTCCACAGGTGCAGCATCGGTGTACGCAATGGAACCTCGCGAGGCAGCCACTGAACAAAAACTAGAACGACCAGCCACAATAAATCATCCGTAGAATCTGCCAGTTCTACATCCATTAAACATCCATTGATAGATGAATTTTCCCACTCAAACCTCCATTGATCAGGGATTTTCCATGGCCACTTTCAGCCCCACCTCGAGGGGAGATGCCATGAAGTGCAATGCCTAGGAAGACCTGGGAGGCTGATGGAGCTGGAGGCTGCATGGCCAGATTTGGGGAAAAATTCAGGAAATCTGAGGGTAATTTCTCCAGCAATACCCCAGCTAATGCCCATGCACATCCCTATTGACCAGCATAAAAATGGTGTGGCTTCTGAAATGGTACTGCGAGTTGCTAACCTGTTGGTTGTATACATCCCTACTCGTCCATTTGGTGGTTTTTGGTCGGTTTATCTGAGGGTTTTTTTTATCGCATAAAATGGGAAGGTCAAGCCTATTTTTTTATATACCTCGATGCTGAGTTCCGGTCTCCAAAGTCTATCTGCAGTATCTGCATATGTTGGATGGTGGTATCCCCATGTTGGCATCCCCTCCACCAGTTCGCTCCACTGCCGTGCGACCACTGCCAGGCACAGCCGTTCGCTCCAACGGCGTCGGGAGCTACGGACTGGAGGGACAGGCGACATGGCAGTCGCGGTCGGTCTGACCGGTCGGGCTCCGGGCGCTGTAGGGGTCCACGTTGGAGCCAAAACGGCTGGGACAAAAAAAGGACGGATGGTATGATGGTGGTGGATCTGGATGAAGCAAGAAAACTAAAAGATTTAAGTTTAAGAATGTTTAAGATAGTTCATGATATGTCAATGATATTTCACTAACATTGAGGAATTCCAAGCCGCGGAGATCGTTCAGGAATCTAAGATGATGTCAGCAATAAAAAGATGGGGATGTTGAAGTTGTGAAGGTAGGAAGAAGGCCGCAGTTGCAACTGCCTACCTAATTTTTTTTGGACCTTTTTTTTTTGGACCTTTTGTGTGAGAAAACATGTTTTCTCGTAGAATTTGAGGGACTTTTAAAGAGAACAAACAACCATAGTTCAGTCAAGGTGGAAGAACATCCATCCATCCATGAATCCATTTATTTTTTCACCAGAAGTTCACCACATCTTCTGGAAACTCCAAGTAACATAGAAAGGCAAAAGAGGCGATGCCAATCGCACTTCAAAGGTTTCGCTTTGCTGCATACGCATCACATCCTGCGCAGATCGCGGAAGCTCCGAAGAGATTGGATCAACAGCTATTTTTCAGGTACGTCGGACTGGGGTCACCTTTATAAATCACCAATAATGTCAGCAAAGCGATAGGAAATCCACTGGATCCACCATTCCCCAAGTTGACCATTTCCATCCATTTCCATGGGTCATATATCAACATATATCAACCATCAATCCATGTTAGGGTGGTAACCATTATCATCCATAATGGCATTATCATTGTTTTACCAACATGAATCAAATCATCTCCTCCATCAGCGGTCGTGCTCCCGCATCACCGAAAAAGAAGCGCCGGAATCCACCTGTTGCGTTCGATGGGTTGCTCCAAAGCCATCCCAGATACAACATGATACAACGGTGCTACAGGGGTGGCAGAGAGATAGAGATTTAGAATGGCTGCAACATGATGAAATCATGATGAAATCATGATGAATTATGATTGGAGATGCCCAGCTGCAAGATTCGTGTGGTCAAACGGTCAAACCACATCGCAACTGATTTCTGATGTCATCCCCCAGGAATCTAGGAATAGCGCACTTCAAGAGTGTATTCAACAAATGTTCAACAAGACATCATCTTCAACTGACTCATCTCTTAGGGTTTCAGGGGTTAAGTTTCAAGCGGCACCCGCTTGACTTGAACCACCCGCAAGTTCTCGCTCCTTTGTCCTCGCTCTCGCAAGTCATTCAGAAACTCTGCGAAGCAGCTCGCAGCTCACGGGTAAGGTTTCCAAATACAAATCTCCTTGCGTTCGGCACACATGTCCGGATCCTTGATGTAGTTGCAAGACCCTGCATCTTGCGGTTTGATGGATGCGCAATAATACGACACTCGGCCATCGCCCCCATCAGGGCTCAAGTGGTCGTTCTCAGTGTCCTCTTTGCGCAGGGACTGGGTCAAGGAGATCAAAGACATCACGAGAAGCGGAGTGAACCACTTCATGGCGATTTTGACAAACGAGTCGCTCGGAGGTTTTGGGAGACCTAAAGGGCTGGGCTTGAGCAAATGAATGAGGCATTGGTTCATGTGGTTCATGTGGTTCATGTGGTTCATGTGGTCATTATTTCCTGGCCAGAAAGTCATCTAGAGACTTCCCGAAAAACCTTGAAACCCAAACTATAAACAAAACACCACAAACCTGGTGTATCGCTGTGTCTGCTAAATGGCATTTACATACATGTATGATATGTATATGCCATTTAGCAGATCAGATTTTGCATATCTAGCCACGTGTCTGATAGATAGACAAGCAAAATCAGCATCACAGAAATGCCTATGGTACCGACTGGATGTTGTTTTTTAGGCCTGGTTGCGCGATATCGGAAGCTCGTACATCCGCAGTGCTACGACCATGCCTTGGGTCGCTGGGAAAGCTATGGATGGGTAGATTGTAGCTGGGATTCAATATGATTTGGGGATTTCATGGAAACTGATTTGACGGGGATATCCCATGGGATTTGATGGGGATTTCCCATGGGATTTGATGGGGATTTCCATAGGATTTATAATGACGAATCACCAAGAAACTCCGGCCAAACCTTCTCATCCCAAAACTCAACGATGTTTTGATGGGATTTAATGGGATTTAATGGGAATTCATAGGATTTCATGGGAATGAACATCTTCTCACCATATCCTATGAAGGAAGTGTCTCACAATTCGGAACTTCCTTCCACCCCGTGCTTTAAGTGTAAAGCCTTATGTCCCTCATTAGAAAATAGCCATGTATTGGAGTGCCCACCCATATTTTGCGAAACCCATCTATTGATTGTTGTGGGTAAATCTGAAACCCGATTGTGAGCAAATGAATTATACCCCAATGGGGCTATTCATCCGTTGAAAATTCACTTTTCGCCATAAGAATACGTATAAAGTGCGGTACCTCCCATCGGTTTTGATAATTTCATCCATATTCATCCATATTCCTCCAGATTCCTCATGATTATCATGGATTCTCATCATACTCCATGGATATTTCACTCATCATTCGATCAAAATCTCGGTACCTCCAAAATCACTAGGATTTCTCCCAAGCACTGGTGGAAACATTGTCTCGCCACCTGGAGCTTTGAAAACCCATTTGCGGCGAAAATCACCAGCTGCACCGAGTTACCAGGACCCCCCCCGAGCCAGGGCGGCGCCGTGCTGCCGCTGCGCCGCCACACCGATGTCGCGGGTGGCATCGCTGTGTTGACTCAGGGTCTGGCGGTCACGTCCGTGACCAAAGTCAGTCACGGGTTGGAAACGGCTTGGAAATTGCGATGTAAAAATCATCCCGTGCCTCAAACTTTGGTTGTTCAGTGGCCATCCATTTTTCGGTGTCAAAGATCCAGGCAGGAAATGCTGGTTCTGTTGGACTGCTAAAAAACCAAGGAGTCTCAAATATCATCACCACTACGAAAAAATGATGAGTGCAGAGTCAACATCTTTTCTATGACCAGCAGGGTTAGAATCAAATTGTGGTCCCAAAAATGAGGTGAATAACAAGTGAAACTACGCAAAACTCAGCAATTCCAATATGTGCTATGTGTTGCCATTGGTCGGCAATGTGGGTGCGTCCCAAAATTGGGGGATTAGCTTAATCTATTTATTGCTATCAATTGTCATATGAGCTTCGCCCAAAAATCTATAATGAAAGCCTAGGTCGCATAACTTTGCTTGCACCAGACCTTACGCCTTACGCCATGCTTACGCGACCATGCATTTGACTTATGCAGTGGGCAGGAACATCAAAAGACTTGCACGAAGCTGACACCAACAGGTTTGATCTTAAGCGCATAGGAACTGCTTATGCCTGAAGAAATGATACCCTCTGGTAATTTAACATAGCCATGGTAAATCACCATTTTTAATAGGTAAACCATCTATAAATGGGCCATTTTCCATGGCTATGTTAAATAACCAGAGGGTAGTGCTTATGCAAGACCTTATGCATTGCTTTTTTACCAAAGGCACAACTCTTCAACAGGCGTAAAAGGAAGTTTCTGACGATGCTCATCTAACGTAGAAAATGATGATGCTCTACTTTCTATGGGGTTCAAATGATTCAAACAACATGTTTGGACAAACCCACGTTGACGGTCAACGTGGACCCCAATCATAACATGGAGACCATGGGGATGTGAACATCCCCATGTTATATAGTATATCTTGGTGATGTCCATGGTTTAGTTGACATGGTTGTAAGCGGGAAACCCACTCATCATCAAAAAATCCTAGCAAAAATGGGATGGCTTTTCCCGCCCATTTGTGGGAATATTGGAGATGGTGTATGGCATTGTCCCACATCCATGTTCACCAACCATGGTACACCGCCACATGGCCTCATAGTCCACCCCTCCCTGCATGGCTGCGGCTTGAGCCAAGCTGGGCGCTGATTTTTTCTGGTCAAATGAATGGGAATATCTGGGAATACCCTCTGGTGAACTAGCATTTAACTATGGAAAAAATCACCATCTTTAATAGGTAAATCAACTATAAATGGGCCATGTTCAATAGCTATGTTAAATTACCAGAGGGTATTTGTTTGTTGCTAAGTTGTTGAGTCGGCAATCCGAATGAACTTGCAATCTGAGGAAAATGCTGTGGTTTGACTTCGAAAGCCAATGCTGGCAACCAAAAATCGATTTTTAGAACCGGAAAGGAACTCAGCCAGTGATTCCCTTGAACCAAACAAGTCGCAACTTTTTTGTTCACAGTTCCTTGTCTGTAAAGATGTTCTGCTGTATCCACTGGCCAAGCCTCGCGGGGGAGAACGGCACCGGATTTGACGATTCGTCGAGGTTTGCGAAGGATGAGAGTCAGCGCTTGCAGCGGACTTCTAGCTGACACAGAGACGGAATATGGATAACCAGAATGAGGAGATGATCATCATAGATGGGCATATCCTTACGGTGCCAATCACATCAGTTGTCTGAAAATAGGGCACCCCCTTTCATAGATTCTCACTGCTATTTCCGTTTAAAAAACACTGCTGGCCTTGGCGGTTTTCAGCCATTTTCACCCATTTTCAGATACACCCATATCTTGGTGACCCATCCCAGCAAACCACCCCCTTTCGCCATGGTCGAGCCTGGAAGGATCCAGAGGCACGGAGTCAGAGGCCGGAGGCGTCAGAGGGCTTTCAGCCATCATGAAATTCCTGGGATGCCAAATGGGGCGAAGATTTTGATGCTTTTAGTCCCCATCACCATGTTTGAAAAATCGAAAACCTGCCACGCTGTTGTGAAAACCTTGGAACATACTCAGGGCTTCCTGCGCACAAATAATCTTGTCAAGTTGCACCCGCATGAGGAGTTCGCATTTTTTCCCACCATCTGCCACAAAGTACATGCCTGTCCCAGCAACTCATGAGATGCCCTTCCGAATATTGCTCGTTTGAGAATGCGAGAAAGAATGCTTGAGACAAATTTGGAATCTCGCAAAAATACCAGTTGGCTGAGGTTGAAATTTGACACACCACGGTGACCAAAACTCCGCGCCCAGGCCTTGTTTTCCTGGATTTCCCAAGTTGAAGACCGCAGCTCCAGTGGGTTTCAGTCGGCCCAGACTGAGGCGTTTCGACCGGCGATGCATTTCTGTGACACCGATGGACCCCAGTGGAAGAAACTAACAGTCACTAACAAAGGTCTCAGGGGAAATCGCTCGGGAATCGTAATTAGCAAAAATCGCCAGCCCATTCCCAAGGCGCAAGAGATGTGGGTTCACAAAAGTGGTATTGATCAAGCCATTTCCATCCATTTCCGCCCAAAAATCTGTGAGAAATGATGAAAACCATGAGATTTTGCAGGGTTTCCCCCCGGGCTTCTCCGCTCCCTGGAACACCACTGGCCACTACGCGGCCACTACGCCACGGCACAAGAGGGCGAGCTGCTGGGTGTCCGGATCAAAGGAACATCCGCTGTACACCACGTCGAAGGTCTTCCCTTCGTCCTTCCTGGCGTGGGCGGCGTGGTTTTACCAGAGAGGAAGGGATCAATTGATACTGCAGCCCTAAGATTTTTTGAAATGAAGGTTCAATAAGGTTCAATTGGTGCTATACTTCAATTGGTACGAAATCAGTTGGTAACACAGAAGATCTCAGTCCGATCTTTCGGTGACAGGAAAGCTTTAACGAGCGCCATTGAGCCAAAAGGACGGCACCTGTGCTTTGCCAAGCTGCCATCTCTGCAGATAGTGGAAAGCATCGCCGCCCAGAAACTCAAACTGTTCTCTTTGGAAACGAAATGGACCACTCGTTTTCAACATGTTCCTGAAGCGCAGGGCAACTCTCGCAGTGAACTGTACACTTTCTCTGGTGATTTTGCCATCTTTTTCCACCCTCATTTTTCCTACAGCCTCATGTTCCAAGTCATTCTTCCGGTTAAAAAAAATGCAACAGTGCCAACATCATTCCAACATCCATCACCATCCATCACCAATAATGTTAGTAAAGCAATATATAGTAAACCTCAATTTTACCATGGCTACTTTTTTTAACCATCAATCCAGATGGGTGGTTACCATCATTGCTTTACAACTAACTAACATGAGTGGATCTTCAGTGGCTGAAAATCCCCAAAAATCACCAGATCGAAAACTCCCGGCTCAAGTCTTTCATTTCACTCAAAACTGGGATACAAAATCCCAATCCCAAAAATCTACCAGATCACCATAGGATGGTGCCCAGTTGTAAGTTTATAAAGCCCATTCACATCCATTCACATCCATTAACTATACGTAGTTACCCTCTGGTAAACATACAAAAAACTATGGAAAATCACCATCTTTAAAAACGCCAAAAAAAAATCAACGAAGTCAATGTGCCATGGTGACTAGCATTGTCCAGTTCGCAGTCATTACAGGAGGCTTTCTTACCAGATCCCACAGATTCCCACAGATTCCCACAGATTCCCAGTGTCTCCGTGGCCACCTTCACCTTGTCCTCCAGGTCCACGCCTATCACCCGGACCCCCGACGACGGAGCCGCTGCCAGGAGCATGGCGGTCATGACCCCCGAGCCGAAGCCCAGGTCGAAGACGGAGGCACCGGGCCTGGCGCACGTCTTGGGAGAAGAAAAGGGGAAAAACACCTTGGAAAAACTTGGAAAATTCATGATAAGATAAACTTAATGATAAGTTGGGGAAAACTCGGAAAATCAACTTGGACAAACGTTACGTAAAACTTGAAATAGACATCGCCCAAACGTTGGAAAAAAATATGAGATAAACAGAGATGTTGGCGATGATTCCCATCCGATGATCTGGCTGGCGGCGGATGGGAGTGGAGTGGAGTTACGCGACGCGATTCGGCCACTGGAAATGCTATATATGCATACATATACAAAATATGTGTGTATATATATAATCCATTATAATCCAGTAGTTTCACAATTACTACTGTGTTTTTTGGACTTAAGCCTCAAACATGTGTTGGTGGAACATGTGGACTTCACCAGTCGCTTCCCACCTCAAATATGGCGCCAGTCGCTCTAGTGCTGGGATTTGAACGCTCCTGAGATGGAAAGTCGATCCAACGTTGGCAGAGATCAGCATGAGGTCCTAGCCCCTGGGAACGCATAAAAATGAACGGAAAAAATATGGCCTTCGCAAGTCTTGGAACCAAGAGGTATTCACGAGGATATCGGATATCGTAATTCTCGGGTCGGAAATTGACCAAGAATCAAGGCAGAGATGGTGCCTCCACTTCGAGCCCTCTGTGGCATGGGTTGATTGGCCCAAACCTCGGTGGTAGAGCCATTGGCTGATTCAAAAAAAAACACCTTGAATGACTCTTTCAATGGCGGTACCACCCAGTTATGGCCATAGGTTTTTTCTGCGGAAAATGATTTTCCCAACCATCAACATTCCTCTCAATGTTCAGACCAACTCAGATCTCTAAGCCTCTAACCCTCCAATTTTCCATGCTGAAAAACCATGGAAAAACCATGAAAAACCAACCCCAAAGAATTTTTTCCCAGCCCATGTGGCCCATGTGCGACGCCGCGTGGCGCTGGCATCGCCGCCAAATTTCTGGTGCAGGGCCGAAAGCTCGTCCAATGGTAAGGCTCCGCCGGCCGCTGAGAGGAAGGGCTTCTGTCCCAAGCCGCCTAACCGACAGATCCCAGAGATCTCAGAGATCCCAGTGGCCGAGGAAAGTCAACCAACCACCAGATCATTAGAATGTCATTAACATTATGAAGCTCATGATTGGCTTGTTATTTATGGGTTTTTTATGTTTTTTTCCCATCAGGATGAAGCGTTCTTGGGGGAGACAATCCAGTTATCACAGTTTTTAATTCTGCTTAAAACGTGAGAGTAATGATCCTCTAAGCAGTGGCATGTTAGAGGGTTAGTTTCCTGACTGTGGTCTTAGGATTGAGGGATTGGATAGTTCTCTGACCCAAAAAATAACTCCCTGCATGTGCTTGTAATACAGGGAGAAAATAAACATATTGATGTCATAATAACCCGTCCACTTCTATCAAAATCAGCTTCATTGATCAATCCCGGTTAAAAATATCAGTGGGGTCATCATCCCATTTCTATGGTACAGAAAGATATTAGTGAAACCTCCATAAACCTCCAACCATTCAAAGTCTGGTTTTCCTCACCCCTGTTCATCAAATATGGCAGTGAAAAATCTCCCATTTGTAGATCTTGTTTCCATTCGAATGTCCGTGTGGTTCGCGGATTTCCCAGTCAAGGTGCATAATCCCAGCAGCGCAAAGCCCAAGGGCCGCCGCAGCGCATGCAGTCGCACGAAGGACATGGCAGCAGGCGCCATAGTGTGTGTTTCCCTAGCCTCACTTTCTGCAACCGAGGCTGGTCATGTAGATATTCCAATCAGCCATATCCATTTGGGCTGCAAATGATGATCGATTCTGTCAGAATCCAACTGTGCTGTGCTCGATGATCTCCATGCAGCAAGGTCCTTTTTACAATCCCCCCTCCCATGGCATCATGGGATTCATGAAGCCAAAGGGCTCGGCAATTGGCTTGCGGTATTTTACGTTAAAAGCAGACCTGTTCCAGGAGCAAATCAAGAAATCAATAGAAATGATGCGTTTTTTATTCTGCGAACACCCCATCTGTCAACTGCTTTATCCTCCCATCCCCCCCTCCCAGGCTGTCCACCACCGTCATCTTAAGCCCATGCCGGGGCCCGCACGTGTCGAGTGCTGAAGTGTCGCTGTTGGATCATGTGGAAGACTCGACCCGGAGTGCCTGACCTGGCAATCCGGAAGAGTCCTCTGAATCATTTGGGAACTTGGAAAAAAAAATGAAAAAACAGCCTTAAAATCAGAATTTGGCAGAAACTGACACCTGAAAAACCTGTTCAGGTCGTAGGTTTGATTTCATCAAGGAGGTGTTTAAAACATCGCCAGCGCCGAGGAACACAATCTGAACACCCGCTTCGAAGGTGTGGATGTCGTCCGAGACGCGCTTTCCTCCAATGCACACGTGCACCTGGTGGCCATTGGTGGCGCGATGGGAAAGTCATCCATACGAAATCCAAGACATGAAGTCTCCATGGACAGCTGATGACATCGGATTCCACCGGTCCAATTTCTAAAGCCTCAGATCGCACCTGGACGTTGAGATAATCTCCAAGGGCCAGGCAGACCTGGCTGACGTTGATGTTTTGTTGAAACCCAAATCCCATGGATGTCAAGGGAAATTGACAGAAACATCTGGTGATCTACGAGTTCGACTAGTCATTTTAAAAGAACAACATGGTTTCCTGAGTTTCAAACGTGTTTTTTTCCTGTTACCCCAACGACCAAAAGATCGTGAACTTTCGGTGCCGCCTTCTGACTCTGCTCCGCCAGCTCTCGCGTGGGTGACAAGAAGAGAGCCTGATGGCTTGAATTCCAACCAAAATGGGTAGCCATTTAACACCATTTAACCCTTGTTCAACCCATCCAAAAATGTATCAAAATGTGGCTTCAATGGTCTTTTTTACAGCAGCCATTCACTTTCTGGCTGAAAATCGTGCAAAATGGCTGGTTTCGAGCCATCCAAAAACCTATTTTTCGCGACTTCCGAGAAATCCATGTCCGGAGGCTATGGCTCAAACCTTGGGTACCAGAGGAGCCACCAGATGATCATATTCAGTACGACTATCCCAAGTGGAGCCACCAGATGTCTCGGATCAACACTGGTTAGTTGGTGGTGCAATTTCACCATCTTGAAAAATATCAAAATCGTCAATGGGAACAATTGAGTTTCGGATGACATCATATGACATCCCATAGATCAAAAATCTTTGAAACCACCAACCAGAACAAAGCCACCGGCCTCACCGGCCTCACCGGCCTCTCCTCCAGTCGGCTGAGTTCCAGACCTGCGGTTCTCTGGAGCTAGTATCCACCTGGGTGTGCCGTGACGCCGTGACGCCGTGACGCCGTGACGCCGTGCCGTCATTTCGAGATCTTCGATGTGAACATTTTTGGCTGAAAAATGTGAACATCCCAATCTTAAACGATGTGCATGTAGACTATTTATAGACAAGAGATCTTTCTCTTTATATATAGAGTATGTATTATATATATATACTATATCAATGATTAACAGCCCCATTTTCCACCACATTGCCTGGGTTCCCCGACACTCTGCAGGGCTCCAAGGCAGAAGACACAAGTCTTTCCGGTGCCGCTTTGCGACTGCACCTGGGCGCTGTACATCATCCGCGCATCAATCTGGAAAGACACCAACCGACATGACATAGGGAGAAATGGTGCTGAATGGTGCTGAATGGTGCTGAGTTACTTGGAATCTTGCGGCATGTTGATCATTTTCTAGCAGATGTCACCTCCTTTGTTCATTCTCCCAGATCACTGGAGACCTGTGCGCCGGTTGCAGCCGGGCTGCGATGACATCCCGACCTTTGAGAATTGGAAGGATGGCACCTGAGCGCAGGCCGACTATCACTTGGGGGAGGCAAAATAGTGATAAAAAAATATGACCAAAATTGGTGCCCCTCCGATTAGTAAATCTATACACTGAGGGTAAGGGCAAATCCTGCATGAGCATTACTGAAGAAAACCATGGAAAATCTTCACCCAAAAAGGTCTCACACTTTTTGTTCACAGGGGCGCCCCACGCTGCTGAACCGCACTGGGTCGCTCGAAGCCGTACGCGTAGACCTTACGACGTCGTGACTTTTTCGGGTCATTTCAACGGAAATTTGTGACATGAACTGGACTTCCGCTCTTTGAATCGACGCTGTGAGAAAGACACAGACATGACAAATGAAGAAATGTCGAAAAACATGAAATCCAGCCAAGACTCACCCAAAACGTCCTAAAATACACCAGCATAACTGTCATAACTGAATCCAGCATTTTATAAAGTCAAAGAAGACTACCTGGCAGATTCACCAGGAATTCCACGAAGGAAACAATACCCTGGTGCCCAGGAGATGCCATGTGACGCCACGCAGAAGATCCTCCTTCAATCCCAGCCTCAGCTTGGGAGATCCAGTCATCTTTGGATTACAAAAAAAATGCAAAGTTTTGGGGGGTTGAACAGATATGAACAGATTGAGCTAGGAAAGACCTGGTCAAAAGGTTTTTTTTAGCTTGATGCTCGAGCCACTGCTGGATATCATGTTCAGCAATTGCAGACACTTCATGAAGGTAGGAGTAGAGAATGATCACCGTTTGATCCCTGTTTGATGACGAAATGAGAGCAGTCATGGTGATGACAAACTATATAACGTTCATCCCAGAGAAGAATTTGCTGATAACACCTGCAAACATCCACCATGATGCACCATCTTCACTCCATCTTCCAGCTTCAACATGAAAAACCAAGTCGTACTAGCTGGTTGAAAACAGCTAAGATAATCCTATGGCTTAGTTCATAGCACCATCACCAACCCTGGCAGGTTAATAGCTCCCTCGTTCATCACCAACCAACCAACCAACCAACCAACCAACTAACCAACGGGTTCCACACCAAGCAACGCATCAAAGGTTGGAAGGACCTCCACGTCTTCGCTGGTTTCGAAGATCAGCCCTTCATCACTCACACCCTGAGGCTGTGGCGAAATTGACCAGAAACCCATCGTGTTTTAACATGTTTTTTGCCATCCAACAATTCACGGTGCCTGGAGATATTCCCTTCATTCCCGATAAATCCAAATCTAGAATTTGAAAAGAAGAGGCTCTGTCCAAACTCGAAAGGAAACTAACCTCAAACAAATCAAAATGATCTGTTAAATTGACCGAAAAATTGAAGGACCTGGCACATGCGACATGGCCACCAACCTCCATTTTGGACGGGAAACAACTAGTTTTTCCGTGGTTTGAAGGGTACTGTACCAACTGAGTTTCAACTGTTTCATGAGAAGAAATTTTGACATCTTGCTTTTAATGTTGCCCAATCACAGTCATAATCAGTCACATCCGCACCTTTTGATCCTCTCCCAGTTTGTGTCGCGTTTTCCAGACCAACCCAACCAAACCGCAACTCAACTGCCAACGTGAAAGTGTTTCCAAAAGTCATTTGCAAAGGTCAAAAAATCATCTGGCGATCAAAATCGGACCCAAAAATCGGACCCAAAAATTGATTTTCACAATGGGGATCCCCTTTTTTTGGACTCCAATCATGAAATTCTACCCATGAATTGGTGCAAAATAATCACAAACTGGCACCTTGGACATGGTGTCGCGCTGTCAGATCAAAAAAATCCACGCTCCAACTACTCTGCGCCCGTCGAAGGCCCCGTCTTGAACCAACCATGCACCCCGGTGTGACTGGCAATGATGGCAATGGTGATCTTCAAAAGTCACAGCACTGTGTCATTGAAACCATAAACGTTTGCAAAAAACATGATCGTATTTTTTCCCCCTTTGAGTTCACTGAATCTCACCCACTCTTTCTGCGAATAGATTGGCATTTCGAACGTAAATTTTGGGGTGTCACAACCTCCCAATCCCCAGTTCCCAACTGCTTCGACTCACGCGGGGTTCTGCGCCAACAAGACTCTGGGTTCTTCCACGCGGGGCACCTGCCGGGTCAAAACAATGTGAAATGTGAACCCACGGCGTTAGAGAAAACGATTCGGCGATTCGCTGAAAATGCACTCAGCAAGCCGCCAAACAAAATGTTCCACACACTCGGTCGTTAATCCAATGGCCATACCGTTTTTTGCATAATTACAATATTTGACAATGTTCAACCTGATCAAAATGAAACCACAAAGAACCACCATATTCTGGATTTTTGCGAATCAAAAACGACCCCCGACGGGTCATTGTTTCAAAGATTGACCAAATTTTGTTGCTAATGAAGGGTTTGACTAGAATCACCCACCAATCCCGAAACCTGGGCATTGCCCATTGCAAACAACTGCGGCTTACATTCCGAACAGCTGAACAATCCGTTGTCTGATGTCTTATGGGGCGTTGTTCATTGGCTGGAAAACATGTTTGTATGATATGATATAAAATTTGCCATGTTTGCACAATCACAAAAAAATGAAAACTATAAGACGTGAAATGTTCATACATCTAATCTGATCAATGGCACAAATATGTTGGGTTATTTTGGGAAAAACAAATGGCTGCAGGCAAGCAAATATAGTCAAATAAACACAAATGTTGTTTATGTAATACATGACGATACCTCGCTATATCCGGTTGAAAGAAACATAGACTGTCATCCAATCAAATACGTTGAACGTTTGTCCCTATTGCGTTCACGGTCATATGTGCAAGACAAAAAAAATGCGGCCCAAAATTTCATGATTCCCCAAAAGCGGTCGTGACAAACCATAATGTAACCATCCTTATGTTTTCCAAGATCACGCAATCACTGTAGAAACGATCTGTTGTTGCATTGCCAGTGTATTTTACGGTTTGTTCCGTTTTCCAAATCAAAGAACGATCTATGAATTTGAAAGTATAACCGAAGTTTCAAAACCAACCTGTCGGTTTGGTGGTTCGAATTGTTTAACCAACATGATCAAAATATTCCATTTATTTTAACATGTTTTCCAACTCCTCCTCCTCCTCCCCCTCCCTCTCCCCCCTCCTCCTCCTCCTCCTCGTCCTCCTTTCTCTCCTCTCGTCGTTCCTTCGTGCCGATTGCACCCGTTTTTTTCCTCGAATACCACAACGTCACGACAATGGCGCCTATTCGCACTCGTGCGCGTTACGCTGATTTTTCCCCCTAAGTAGTCATATAGTCATATCCAAACTCTTGCAATGTCCCGCACCTGCCACATGGACCTCGCCTTGAAACGGAAATTGCCATTACAACACTCAACCTGTGCAAATGTATGTCCACAAGCATGTTAATTCACAAGCCAACGCGCGAAACAATCCATGTGTCGGAACCCATGTCAATACAAGTGCCAACGTATGCGCCAAAAATTTCATACCAATACAAGTCGAGCAACGTGTGTCGCGATATTTGCCGTCAAATTCAACATGCCAATGAATTTGCATGGTTTTCGCGGCAAAATTGTAAAAAGCATTGTCGCCCGAAAGAATGAAGAAACGAATGATTGACGTGAACAAATGAACGAACAACTTTTTGAATGGCTGAACGCGCATGACTCAAGAATGAAAATGATTGAACGACTGAATGGTTGACGATCTATAAATGAATGATTGAAAAACCATGAGTGCTTATTTCTCTAAAAGTAAAAACCGCCGACCCCTCAAAAAACACGCATCAGAAAAATCCCTCGCAAAGGACATGTCTATCGCACTCACGCTTCGAAGTCTCTCATAAATCTTGTTCTGTTTCAAAAACAAACATGCATCAGAGGCAAAAACCCCTCAGCAAATAAAAACATGCAATCAGTCAAACGAGAAAACACAGTTTCCCGGTAAAGAAGGCGCACCCTCCTTTTTTTCCTACACAGATGGGAACATCGCAATTCCGCTTTCGGGGCAATTAACACATCGCGAGTATGCATTCATATCGCAGAGTGTGTGAAACAAAAATGATAGGCTTACGCATTCGTAAGGAGAAATAGAGAAATTCCGCATTCGGAAAAATGTAGGGGGGGTGGGGGGCTCAAAAAGCACTATCCACAAAAGAAGTGGAACCCACCCGCCCTCCCTTTGGAGGCGATACCTTGAAATGGTAATGGCAACCATTGACATAAAATTAAGAGCTGTTACACTTCTGTTGTGCGTGTCATCCTGCGCAGAACAGTGCTAGAGAAGAAAACTTGTTGCTCTCAACAAAAAACAGAAGATTGGGTTTGTGTAAGTTGAAAGTTCACAGAGGTTAATTGCACAAGGTTCATAAACCAAAAAGAGCACCAGATACAAAAAGGTGCAACACTTACAAACCAAAGTGAACCCAGACCACAAAACCCAAATGCACTGAACGCAGGAAAAACGTGGGACGCACGCGTCAGAGGGAAGAGTAGGGCGGCTAGAAGTTGCATTCAACTTCTTTTTTACTAAAAGGGAAATAAGGTTCCATCAGCACGCTGAGTCGCAACTTATTTCCCAAAAAGTAAAAACCGCCGACCCCTCAAAAAACACGCATCGGAAAAATCCCTCGCAAAGGACATGTCTATCGCACTCACGCTTCGAAGTCTCTCATAAATCTTGTTCTGTTTCAAAAACAAACATGCATCAGAGGCAAAAACCCCTCAGCAAATAAAAACATGCAATCAGTCAAACGAGAAAACACAGCTTCCCGGTAAAGAAGGCGCACCCTCCTTTTTTTCCTACACAGATGGGAACATCGCAATTCCGCTTTCGCCACGGTCCCCACCCATGTCTCAAGGTGGCGTAAGGGCCACTTTCAAGAAGGATAAACTTTCTTCGAAAGACCTTCCTATTTCTTCATGGGAATCATGGTGTCTTTCACCGAGAGAGGATGCTCAAGCTGTCTTGAGGGGTAATCTGCTATGTTGGAAATTGAAGGCACCCGTGCAAACATGGTAGCACAAAAATGTGTATCTAGTGTCGTCGCCGCCCATGCGCACAAAGCTGTTATTGCTCTGGAGGTGGAGTAATCCTTTATCAGTGAGTATTTTGCACCCTCATTGTCTATGTAAACCATACGATGCACCGACTCCGGGAGGCTCTGCCAAACCAGTAGTGACAAGGCACTGCCAAGGTCTCAAGTTCACCTATAATTGTTTGCTGTCCTGCACTGAGGAAAAGGCGCCAGTTGCTCCTGGCTCCAGCACATTCCAAACCAAGCCAAGACTTTTCCAGTTCCATTCAAAAGCACCGCATCCAATCAGTTTGACCATTTTTCTCGAAGCTGGCATCCGTAAAAAGAGAAAGAGTCTCCAACACTTCGCATGTCAAGCGTCTGGCTTTACCTCCTGAAATCCGGGATCTCAGCAACTTCATGGAGTCCAAATTGGTGGGAGCTAACTGCTCTCTGAAGGGGTTGTCGTGTGCACGTTTTGTGATGCCCTGTAAAGCAATCTTCCCAAGTCTCCCAAAACAAAAGCGTCACAGAAAGCCAGTCTCCCTCTAAGGGCTAAGGCTTCTCACTTCTGCAATGTACCTTTAGCCATGACCCCATCCAAGAGGGCCAATGTTTCGCGTATCATCACTCTTTGGGCCCTCGCGATCAAAGCTCCAACCCAAAATGTCTAGCATGAGGCACAGAGTCGCTTGTGTGTTCTTTGCAAGGTCCAGACAAGCAAAGGAAACAAAGCCATCGAAATAACATGACAAGGGCAATTTGAAACGGAGTGCTGCCGCCCACTGCAAGAACCTTCCGACCAACTTAGTAGCTCTGCCATGTCCTGCAAGGCAACGCATGAGGAAGGTGCAAAAGGCACTGATCACATCAGGACCATCCACGGTGGCCTGTTCATAACAAGTCACTGTAGAGTTGATTTGGCTCCGGGACAAATCGTCTATCTGTCTCACCTTTCCCGATTGCTCCAAAGGCCACCTCCTAGATAGTGTCGCACCATAGCCCAGCTCTTCCCAATCCAGTGGGTCACGCATACAGCCACGTTCTGTTAAAGTAAGGTCTTATCCCGAAGCTTCTGATCCAGTTCACTATCTCCACAACTTCTGGTCATGTACCTTAAGGCATCATTCGAGCGTTTCGAGCTGTTTTCAAAATCCTGCCTGATAGCTTAGCAGGCAACAGCTTTTGGGGCAGCACATGGGACTGCGGCACTTCACCAAACAAGGAAAAACCATTGGACAGGTCACCCGCCAACGCTCGATCGTCATAACTTTCAGAATCAATGATATGATTCATCGATCTCAGTTTTTGCTCTCCAAGCTTCTCCTTCCGCAATTGGGCATGGACGCCTTCAAGGCCTCCTCTTCCAGCTGAAAAATTTTTGACACTTCAGCCACTCCCCCAATTTCAAGCATCTGTCGTTGATCACATCCACAGGTAACATGCTAACAACGCGCTCACAGGCCCAGCGCACTTCATTTGGTAAACCAGGAAAGTTGAAAAGGGGTGACCTACTGCAACCGCCTCTTTGATAAAGAACTCCGGCGTCCATCTAACTCCAAAAACCCAGCCAGTGCAATCTGTATCAACCCTTGTCGTTCCCAACACAACCTTCCGAACAACTCATGCTTCTTTCCCAGGTTTATGACAAACAAGCATGTCATGTGCCTCCACAAAAACCTGTCTCACAAGTCTGCAACTGGACATCCGACAAAGTATGAAGAGACGATGCTCTCTCCATTTGAAATTTTCGGAAGACGGCCATCACCCCCCTTTTTTCTCTGTCTTACGCAAGAGCTTGCTACGACATGGAATCAAAAATGATTGTCCATTGTATTGTAGTGACACACAACGCGCCAGCGCTGAGTCTTGCATCGAGAAAGT